TCTCTCACGCTGTCTTACATAGCGTATTGAATAAATAAATAATCGCCGGATGTGCATTAAGAGCGAATTCGGGATCAAACTAGTGTGTCATTACGCTTGTAGGTGACACTGTGAAGTGTAATGTCAATAATAAAGAATGGGAGGAATCTTGGCAAGTGCAAAAATGAAGTTGCATCAGCAGCAAAGCGAAATAGCGTTGTTTGTCAGTGTTGTTGAGAGGGGCCAGCGCTACATTCTAACTCATCGGCTTTGTCAACAGGGTCAACCGTGCGTTGAGTAGTTCTTAGTGAAAACAGTCGTTTTTTTTTCTCGGAGGGGGTCATGTTGTGGCTGGTGAAGGTCAAAAGTGGAGGAAGGTGGGGTCGTATTTTTGGAAGCTAAAGGGGTCGTGGCGGTAGCAGAGAAGGGTTGCGTTCGAGAGGTTTGTGGAGACTCTGGAAAACTTTATAAATTCGGCAAAAAATAGAAAAAAATTTCGACGGCGTTTCGGAGGAAGAAAGTGAGCAAAGTTTGGACAGTGTCAAGTGGTGCCGATCAAACACTATAGAAACAGCTGTAGTGGTGAAGGTGGTGGATCGGGAGCGGGTAAGGGGGATGGCTACCTGGTGACGCACGCGGTGCGCAATGTGTTAAAGGCATGCCCCAGGATCACATTGGTGTGGCTCTGGCACACGGTGCAAAATGGGCCGACAGTGAAGAAAAAGGGAAAAGAATCCGTCGAAAACGCTTAGGTTGAGGGCTCACTCACCTTCTAGTCGGCTAAGGGAATGAGAGACTAAGCGCGGAGAGTATGAGGCGAGAGAGCGCTAAAGTGAGAGAGCGGCGGACAACAGCGTGACAAGAGAAGAAAAACTCGCTTTGCAAGGCCCAGGCGCTCTTGTCGGTCGGTTTCCCAACGCCACATTTGTGATTGTCCTCTAGGGGTCCGTACTACAGACCGAAGGGAAGCGTTCACATGATCTCTGCCTGGCTTGTGCCTTTGAGGATGGTGAGTATAAGAAATAAGGAAAAGCTTGAGAAACGGCCCAAACCCGAGAAATGGATCCCCTTCCTTGCCCGTTGATTTCCGCATTGATGCGACTTGCATCGCTATGCCCTCTTCAACACTAATGCTCTCTCTGCTATCTAATCACTCCACGTATAGATGCGGCGAGTGATTGGATAGTCGGTAGGCGTACGGCGCCAACCGCGCCAAGAGTGAGCCATTCTAGGGCGTCGAGGTCAAATCTTTCGCTGTCAATTAAGTGTTAGTCCGCACCCTCAAGTTTTCCCCTACTTCGACCTTCGTTTATCGTGGAAATCTCCTTCGAAGTAATCGTATAAAGCAGTAATGAGTGTTTTGTTTTGTTCATTTTTGCAATGTCCGCAATTCACTCCAGTTTTCGAAGGGACTGATTGCAAACTATATCAAACAAGTATAACTGTATGCTTTTACTCATATTGTTACTGTTCCACAGCACTTCCGTGAGCAGAACACCTTGATTCAGAACTGAATCAGCTGCGATCGTTTTCTGCAAGCCCTGCTGTAGCATGCTTCGTTCAGCTCGTCCCTGATGCATCCGGCGTCTGTGGTGTACGTGTTTGCCGATTCCGCTGCTTCCGACGGCAAAGCGTTCGATCCAAAGCTATCGTCAACCTCGCCCGAAATGATGGCTGTGCAGCGAACGTTGGCGTGGAGGAACCGTGTGAGTTTTCTGGCGCTGACCGGTGAAGTTTTGAAGTACCCATAAAATTTTGACCTAATTCAGTCAATAGAGCCTGCAAGGTTCTTTACAAGTGTGGAGCTCAGATCCTCTACGTGAACTTGAAATAGACTGATACTCATGATGTTTCAGCCATTAATTTATGCTTTCTATAAAAATAACAGTAATGTTAAGATCCAAAACAACTAAGTATAACGAACGGTATAACTTAATTATATCGAACCAAAAATTTTATTGCCGAAGTAGTTATCAATCAAAATTAGTTAACAAGTCAGTAAGTCAGAGTCAGTTGTGAGTGCTACCTTTTGTAGACGATGCTTTGTGAAGGCCCTCTTGTGCGGGACACCGATGGCTTGGCTCTGATTACAAGGATGACGTCTAGTCTGGCACTGGCATCATTCGGCACCAGTTGGGAAGCGCCAACCTGAAGTGCAAAAATTTCGTCATCCCCGGGTACCGAATTTTGGAAAATTTAATCCTTCACAACTCCATTGGCAGATTTACACACAATAGCAGTTTCGGTCTTCATGTTGTAACCAGCATCCCAGACTCTGTCGATTCGCGTGAATCTCAGCTGAGAGTTCCATGGAACGTTGAAAGTCTTCCCTGGTAACGTACACTCGGTGAATCAGAAAAGCTGTGAATTTCGCTGTGCCAGCTGCTGGCTGCAACCACTCAGAATTTCCTCTTGATCATTAGATGTTTTTTACAGCGATGTTGACAGAATGAAATCTACAAGAATTATCCACACTTAGGACTGTGACCGACATAGTGTCCGTTTCGAAATGAGTCGTTTCAGTTGGCAATTTTCCTCTCTGAAACCGACTCCTCTCCAATGGACTACTTCGGTGACTACTTCGATGTATTTCGCCGTCTTGTACGGGCAACGCAAGGAGATCTGATCGTGTTTGAGAAGACCAGCATAACACAGGTAAGCAAGCACGATCTCATGATGAGTTTTTTGCCCTAATCTGTTCTCAAAAATTCCTAATAAAAGATTTTCTCAATATTATCTCTGCAACGAATAGTCACATGCGAATAGCTTGTTAACGGCTAACGAGTCAACGAGCAAGGAAATGTAGTGAATATAGGCGATCTCTCGATTGCGTGCCTTCGAACTTTGGTGGCTCAAAGGCAAAGGTCGGGCTCAGGCACGCTAGAGAAGTAATTCCCGTGCCTGGAGGTTGTATGTGGGTAGCTGCACACATTGCAGCAACTTCCCACCTTGAAAAACCCCGTTAAGGCCCCGGGGCGTTCGGTTTCAATCCAGGGCCGCCTGGTCAATCCAGGACCGCCCACCTCCGGAAGTGGTGCGTGGCTGGCATAACGTGTGAAATCAGGGGCCGTATGCTATGCTCCCCGAAGGGGTTAGGGGACGAAAATTCCTTTAAATTTTCTCTGTCTTCCCAACTGGGATTGCCCTGATAAAGGGCCTACATTTAATGTATGTATGTAGGTTAAAGTAAACATGCATTGAAAATGAAGAAACTACATCGTTCAAAGCAAATAAATTTAAAGGAAACTTTGCATCACCTAGCTTCGGGGAAGCATAGCATACGACCCCAGCTAGGTTGATTGCCGTATCAACCGATAGAACGACTGACATCTCCAGAAAACTTGTTTGTACGTGCCTCTTCCCCAAGCCAGCCTCCTTCACTGCTAGTGGGAAAGAGGGTTTTGTTAACGGCCTTGTCGACGGTTTTTCTCAGTTTTTTCTCCACTTCGCATCTCTATACTCAGTTTCAATCGCCATAATACCCCCTTATTGAGCCCGACTTTTGCCTTTAAAGCCACACTAGTTTGGTCCCCGTTCGGCCGCCGGGGCCTCTCTTCACTGTGGTTCTTTCCACTTGCTACACCGACAGCTCGGGAGTTGATGCGGATGCACAAAAAGAAGTTTCATATAGAAGAGCGCATCGTAACAGTCATGGCAGAGTCATAGTGACTTACAATACTATACCCCCCCCCCTAGAAAATGGACGAGTGCCGCTCGACGGCATTTTTGAAGGAAAAAGTGGGCGGGGTTTGGATGGAAGAGATATGGTGGTCGAGGTGTGGAAAAGGGGGTCGTATCAAATCCACCTTGGGGGAGGGGGTCGTAAAAATTTTTGAAAAGTAACAACGATAGGACTGACCCTGATTCCCGAACAATAGGCATAAGCAGGAGCAAGCATGGCACAATGGGAGAATTACGAGAGCGAACATCTTTCGTTTTTCATCCACCGGCGTGGGTCATGCCCCTTCCTCGCGGGTCCCTTGCTACCCTAGGCACAAAGTACTGCAAGACGTACAGCAATTAAGAAAACTCGGTGCTGACTTCGACAATCTGGTTACCATGGGTCACAGAACCCAAGACATCTGTGACAGGTGTGTGGAACTAATTTCTTTCACTGCAGGTAATCGATCGATTACTTCCGTATTACTACCAAATGGAAAATATGGCGGCATTGTACGGCGTGAATCCACAGGATGATATTGATGTGGTTATCAGAGCCGACTACCCTTTTCAAGTTGTATACATATTGATCACTTCTGAGAATGCCACAGGTATGTTACGCTCCCTCAGAACACAGTCAAGCGTACGTTGTTTTTATTAGTTTGACGCGCCAATGCGCGGTCATATGATCGCTGCCTACTTGGAGGAGAATTCTACGATAAGGACGAAGGTCGAAGAAGGGGGAACTTACAGAGTAGAGAAGCAGGCGGGCCTCCTAAGGGTGACCGACACGCAATGCGCATCGAAAGAAATGCCCCCAGCGACCTAGCATGGCTTCCCCCCCCCCCCAGCGCCATTAGCGGCAGAGAGAGCGTTAGCGTTGAAGAAGGCAGCACCGATGAGAGTCGCATCAATGCGGAAATCAGTGGGCAAGGAAGGGTCCCATTTCTCAGGTTATTGGCCGTTTTTTGGTTCTTTTCTTTTTTCATACATAATAACCATGTCTAAATTAATTCCCAATGGACTGTCTTTTTATCGTGAAACGCCTTTAAAATCGCCCCCTCCCCCTCGAATACACGCATATAGCCACTATGTATTATATTAGGGTACCCGACAAGAGGCCGTCGCGCGGCAAGAGGCTGAGTCAACGGACGAGTCGCGGCGCGTACTATGCAATGTACTAAACAAGGTCGATGTCGGGGCACTGGCTATTTCACTTTCGTAGAATCGTGGTCCTTTGTCGACAGATCGAGAGGAGATAGTGTTGTGCCAAGGTCCAATGTACAGTGATCGGTAGCAGGTGTAGGTTCTACAGAGTAGAGCTGTCAGAGAGGTCCAGTAATTGGTTCTGTTGCGGAGGTATTTCGCGGTTCCACAAGGTTGATGTGTCGTGTCTGCTGCAACCTCCCACAGCGTGCATCCCAGGCGACATTTTCCAGACGTCTTGCGATGATGCTAGATCCGTCTGAGTGCTTTTTGCCGCGCGCTGTTCCTTCACGTATACAGCATCATCCACGTTGAAGTGGTGACGCCTTAACTCATGCTGTTTGTTGAAGAAGGCAGAGTGCCAGGACGAGTTGCAGGATGTGATGTGCAGTGTAGGACGTACAATGGTACATTCTATTTAACTTGACGCGAAATCACTACAGTACGCGCTAACTCGTCCGCTGACTCTGCCTTCTTGCCGCGCGACGGGCCTCCTGTCCTGTCGGGTACCCATTGTATTTTCACGCCCGCAATAAATCTACAATGGATTTGCATGGGAACTTCGACCATGCCGTTTTTCCGCAGAATGGTGTCAAAATGAGGCCGTTATGTAGTTTTGACCGAAAGGCTCTTGCTGCAGTCACGTGGATCGGGAAGAAGTTGACAGTGGCTGAAATGTACGTTGTTCAATAGACAAGAATAATAGCTTGATATCATCAATTTTTAGTGCCAGGAGTACTTGATCAGAATGGAATTCAGCCAAAAACGGAAACTTCTGGGAAATACTACAAAGTGGGTTCAAATCACGCAAAGTTGCTGTTCACAGTGGCCCTATTCCTTCCGATTTTGAATTTGACTGAAAACACTTCAGCTGATCCGAACAACTGCGACGGAGACGTCGGTCATTACGGTGACTTCGAAAAAGCAGTCTAGCGTTAATGTTCGAGTCTGGATAAATTCACCGAACACTGCATTTGTTGGTTCGAGTTCGGATCCAGCCGTTGACGTCGGGAGTGCTGTTGCCATTTCAGGTGATTCTCTAAAGAGCTGTTACAAGTTCAGAGCCACTTTTCAGTTCAACGATTCGATTCAAGAAAAGCTCTTTCTTACAGTATTGTGACCGTCCTTTTGATCCAGAATACGCTCTCCAGCGCTCATTCTTACTTGGCTATATGTAATGCAAAATGAGGAAAGCTCGTTTCTTCAAATTCCATTCTAGGAAAATTCCCAAATTCCCAGAGCAAAATTTACTAAGCTGGCGTTCCCGTTCTTCTCTGTGTTTTTCTTTGCTCACTGCCACCCATCTGAGCTTTATTATTGCAGAGCTTCAAACCTTCACAACGGCTTATGTGAGTGGCTTCACGTCCATCAGCTCATTATCGTATACCATATACGACCTCACCGGGTAAGTCTAACAGCTGAACCATGCCAGGCCTCTGAAGATGACGATTATGTGGAGACGTTAGGGCATTAAAGCGAGAGATTACGATAAAGTGTGTGTGCGCAAGCACGGAAGTACAAGCGCCAGTGGAAGCAGTAGTGAGGGGCTGAAGTAAGCAGATGTGGCCTCTTCGTGGCCAAAGGCGCGCTAGTTCAGCGCCCTGGGGCTGCCAATCCTTTCTGAGCTCCGCCTCACCGCCTGTGCTCCGCCCATAGTGTGCTGCTAGCAGCATCACTGCTCTTATCATTTGGATGAGGTATTCCACTTCGATTGCGCATCCTATAACTTTCCCATGGGATGCTTTAACCTTGAAAGTATGATCCTTGCTGAATGATAGCGGCTATGGTTTAACATAGTGCCGACGACCTCTTAGTTGGTTGCCAACTCGTCCATTATCGGAGGTCAACGGGCAGAGAAAGGGTCCCATTTTGCGCGTTTTGACGGATTTCTTTGCTTTTTTCGCCACTGGGGCATTATTCAGCATCTCCACTTCCACTATGAACCGACCAATCTTATCGTAATCCCTCGCTTTAAATAAATTCTCGACATACCAACCTCGTACGGCACAAGAAATCTAACAAACTTTCAACTAATATACCGAGGCTGCAAGGAGAGAGAAGTTGGGTATTAATAGTCCCTCGTCCGACCACCCGCAGTTATGAACACGTGATTAATGCTAAATTTCAAACATTTCAGCGTCCTGCCATTACTAAAATTGTCAACCGGTTGCTGCTTCAGAGCAATCCAACCGCCAGAAAGAAGCACACTACTATGACTCAAACGAACTAAACGTCAGGGCGGCTGTAGGGATGCCTGGGAGCTCACCGACCTTGTCCAAAGTCGTAACTTTCAGAAACTCACACAAAAGCTCCAGGGCTGCAACCTTGTGAGCCGCTTGGGAATATGTAGGGAAAAGTGCATTCGGAACCTCTGCTGAGATTCGCTTTCAGTACTTCTCCTGGCTGT